CTACTAGGAAGAAAATTAATTATAACCCAGACGAAACCAGGACGGAAGAAAATCAATTATAACCCAGACGAAACCAGGATGCCTTTACTTCTGTAGCTTCCTTACAGTCTCTTATATTGTAAACTGCAGAACAAATCTTGTTCTTCCAATAGTGAAAATACAGTTCAAACTTCAGTGGTGCTCAAAATCCATCAAAATAATTGTGATTGCAGTTTATACAGAGATTATACTCACAGTATGAAACTCATAGCAAGGCCTAAAGTGTGCTAGGTAATCAAATTCTTAATCAAAAGATGGCAAACTAAGTTCAAGAGCTGGTTGAAACACTAACAAGGATCCTTACTGTTAATGAAACAGAGCATCTTCAAAACCATTTGCAAATCAAGCTTCAAAAAACATACTGATCTCTGACAACAGATTATAATTTGCTTTTTTCCCCTAACTGCCCAAAACAATTCAATCGGGTCAGTAAAAACACTTAACTTAAACATTGTAACTTCATTTTGAATTTGCCAGTAAAAAAACATGTTTGCATGTGGCAGATTTATAACTGAGCCTACCTTTGCTTTCAGATCAGCACAAATCTCCTGTTGCTTTTGTCTGGTATTAGCCAGCACTACTTCTGTCTCATGAGCAGCAGAGGCTTCCGCAACAGTGGTCGCTGCCTTAAGTAAAAAGGCTTTCCGAGCTCGGGCCCAATTTAACATCAAGACTCTGCGCTGATTCCTAATGAAATGGTAACGATCCCAAGCTTTCTCATGAACAACCTAAAACAGTAAAGCATTTCAGAAAGTTTTAAACACTATGCATTAATAAAATAAACAAATCTAGACATTTTTGCAAACCTTGACTATAATTAATTATTGTTACAGCAATATTCCTACGGAATGCACAGTTTAGGGCCCAAAAGTATTCTGTCAGGCGCCAGGTACACTGCAGTCTCGCAGTGTCGGTAGGCAGTGATACCACTCCAGCCTTCTCCTCTTTGCCTGTACCACACGGCACTTCAAGAGCCCGATGTCCCACTGTTCTTTTCTGAACTACACTTTTGCAATATGAATAAATTAAATGCAATGGTTCCTTTCTGCCCCAAAGTACATAAAATGCAAGTAGATCCTTTCAATACATCTTCGGAGTTATCGAGCACTTTTAGCAAGATGAGGCTTTTCATAGTACATTATGATCCATACAGAAACAGAACACCAATTAAAGCAAGCGCACAAGTGCGGTACAGATGAGAATTAGCTTCACTTTTTTTCCTAACAGGAAATTTGGAAATAGACTTTTTGCTTGCCAAGCAGCCTACTGCCACCACCAATGTCACTACCTAACAAAAACAGTGTGTTTAATCTTAAATATACCTTCTTTGGCCTTACGCAGTGAGGTTCCTGAGGACATTGAAGTTTCAAGACTCTGATAGAAGTAGTAACAAGTAAGGCTGCATAGACTGAGGCAGTAGAGTCTTAGACCTGTCTTCTACCCCCAAAAATACAAGTTACAGGGATGAAGAGGAATCTAGAGATGGCTGTCTGCTCACAAGTGTCACGGGGACCATTCCCGATGCTAATGTCCAGGCTTTTGGCAGGGGACAGAGGGATGCCGACGTGCCTGGTGCCTAGCTCACAGATATTCCTATCAGCTCATAGCTGGATGAAGATAAAGCGGTACCACTACCTCCGGAGACTCTCTTTGGTCAAATGCACATAGGCCACTGCATCAGAAGTTCACATTGCCATTGCTGCTGCCACAAACAGGTTTGCCTTGCTAGCAAGCACTAAAAGCTAAGACACTCAACAAGCAAGAAATGGGATGGAGAGTTTGCACTTCTAAAAATAGATCTCTCTGATGAGCTGCTACTGGATCAAGCACTCAGTGCTTTTCCACTGGTCCATTCTTCTTCAGAGGGAAGAAGGCAGAGAAGACTCTAAGTTTAGTACTCTAATATAACACATAGGTTTTAAGAATAGATTCTTAGTACTGTTTGAACATTTCTGTATTTGTCATACTAATATACATACTAAGAGATACCAATTCAATGCAGAATTATGATTTTTAAATTTTAAATGAACCTTCAAGGAATCAGGGAGACCCATTAATAATGGCTATACTTAAAATACACCTACACTGTACAAAACACGTAATTATTTAGCCCAGTTCCCACAGGCAAAAGTCCTGAAATCCACAAGAACTTTATTTTTGGTGAAACTATGCTAATTATCAGTATCATTTCACTGTGACTCCTTTGCACTAGACACTCCTCAAACACAAGGAAGTAGATGGTCTAAAAATACATGCAGAGATAAAAAAAAAAAAGAATCCTACTTTACTTATGATATCCTGAAGTGTTCTGGCCTTGAAATGGGTTTCTCTATTAGCTGCTACGTGCTTATTCACTGTGGAGTGTAAAAGGAACCAGCTATCAATTTGAAAGGCATTATGCATATAATAGCAGCCTCTCCCTGAGAGCAAGAGATAACTTTGCACTCTTCCTGCTACGTATGTGCCACAGACCAATTAAAATAACTATTCCTAGACAGTGTGACAATGCTATACATCCTCATAAAAAATAAAAATACCAGGAGAAGCAGAATAGCATGACATAACTATAAAATTGTACAGCAAAAGCAATGCTAACAAACTCATTTTGTGAATTTGGCTGTAAGAGTATGTGGAACTATAAAATCTCCACAGTGCTTATTTTGAAGAAGTGATAGGTTTTCAAGTTCATGCATTTTGAAGACAGGTACACACCTTCTTCACTGTGCAGAATAAAATATATAATTAAGAAATTTTAAAATAGAAAACTTTGAGAAGCATTCTTTAAATACAAATGTTCAGTACATGATTTATGTAAGAATTTATATAAATTGATCTAATATTTAAAACAACACTGACCAGATCGTGCCTAGATTTGTGAGGAAGGTATCTCTGCAGCACATCGAGGTACAAAGTCCTCCTCCTCTGAAGATCGCTTGGATACTGATCGATAACAGTCTGAAAAACCCACTGATCTTCTTCGTTCCATTCAATGTTCCTACAGAAATACAAAACAAATCAGCCTCAGTGTAACTTAACATCTGAAAAGGGGAGCTTGGTTCTAGCTTATTTTTAAAGGCCTAACCTTTCAGTGGACTCACAGTCCTGAACCTGTAAACTGGATGTTGCAGTAGAGCCAAGAAATTTAGATTTACTTTAACAAAACAAAGCAAATCTATATTGATTTTCGAATGTGACCATTTATTGTGCCATCATTTGAGTGAATTGTTCCTTTTCCCAACCCGGCTTTTTATTGGGGAATGACACTGTGTTTCTAAGATATGCTACATTAATGAATAGTCACACCACATGTAAAATACAACATGAAAAAGGAAGATGATGATCAGTCTCTACCACTGAGCACTAAATAAAAGATCAAAATGAAATGAATAAAGTGATAATATCTGTATGCAGCTAAATGAGGAACTAGTTTAAAAACAAACTTCTGACAGCCGTAAACTCATCAGCAAGGCATAAGATTCACAATTTTTTTAAAATAGGAGGTGTAGTAATCAGTATGCACTAATATATTTCAGAAAATTGGAGTAGCAAGAAGTAACATAAAACTAAAACAGAGTGACACAGGTTTGGATTTAGTAGATTAGATTTTACCCTCAATCTGAACTCTTGGCCTTGAAGGGATTAACGTCAGGCTTTTATTGTCAGCATTAACCTATGAGCAGCAACACTGAGTCAGACCAAAAGGTCTCTCTATCCCAGTGACCTGTTTTCAAAAGTGACTAAAATACTAGGGAAAATTAAAAGGTGGCAATCATATGACTCTGCCCCCCACCACATCCCTGCAACCTCCAGCCGCTTGCAGCTCTCGCGTTCCGGAGCCAGCAGTGGTGTCTTGGTATTTAATAGCACTGCAGCCAGCAAGATGTTAGAGCAACTTTATCCTAACGCAGGCAGAAATATCAGGCATTTTAAAAAAAGAGGATTTTTTTCTGTGAGGCTCATATATAATTAATATTAAACTAGGCTTTATGATACGATCTAGCATTATTGCTGAAGAGAGCAGTGAATACAAGTGTTTTTAAAAAAATTCTATGTAATCCAGTTAAACACAACTTGTCTTTAAAAAACATTGTACAGTAAACCCATAGTGTATTATCACCATTGTACAATATTCTGGGACACTGAAGGAGGAAACAAGAAAGCATCCCTGGACCTGTTGGCTTTATGAAATGGAAAGCTTCACCTACAGACATCTCAAGAATGCAAAGATACAATATCCCATTTCAACAAACCGTTTCTGAAGTAATATCCTGTCAGGCAAGGGAACCCAATCTGCTTATGACATGCATTCCACCTTTCTTCCTCTCTTCTGGCACTTTCTGCTGTCATATACTTTGCCGTGAAGTTGGCACACTTATCTTCACCTACCTAAAGGCATTTATTTTACAGTTTTCTTCACGCAGACTAATGGGCTTTATTTTAACCCTTACCGTCTTAAGAGGGATTTAACCTTCACCCGTCTTTCTGGAGACAGCTAGTGATCAGAGGTTCTTTCCTCTCCGCTTCAATACCTCATCCTCTGACTTCCATGAAACAAAAATGATTCTTAGCTTACTGTAACATTTTCAGCACAGAATCGTTATTCCAGGATCAGAATGGTGGCAACTTAACGATAATCAAATATGAGGAAACATTAAAATTACTATACCTTAGTAATGAACACCTTGTTTCTTGCACTTCATGTGTACTTTTTTCTGTATTTTGTTTTTCTTTGAAAAAATGTTAAAGGTTACTCTCGTCTTTCATGCAGACAGCATCACAATGAAGATGGCCAGGTAAAGAGAAATCACATCCTATCTCCTTCGATAAACTCCAATAACGTTATCATGGCCATTAGTACTACAAACACATCAAAACAGAGCACTCTGCAGTAATAATGTTTGTATTGCATACAGAGAGGTGCCAGTCATGAAAGGAGGGTTTTTTTGCGGGAAAATATGAAGCACTAACTCTTAGCTGGCCCTCTGTGATAGCGCTTTTGAGCAGCTTATCTGTTTATCAATGGAGCACAATGAAAGCAACACATAGAAAACTAACTTCCAAAAAAAGACTAAAGTGTCCACAGGTAGCAGTATCGCGTCACAGGACAAAGAGCATACACCGAAAACTCTTTGCTTTTCCATGCAAGATAAAGCTTCACAAACTGCATTTGCTGACAGCGCTAGAATAATCACAAAACATAGCCAACAAAACCCAGAATTCAACAGCAACCTAACTTCTCACGAAAAGAACACCAACCAGCCAACTCGCAGTTAGCACTCCCAGAGGTGGCAAGCAGGGTATATAAAGATAACTAGGTCACACCTCGTCTTGATATGTAGAATCATAGAATGGTCTGGGTTGGAAGGGATCTTTAAGGGTCATCTAGTCCAAACCCCCTGCTCCAGCCCTCGGATCATCTTCGTGGCCTCCTCTGGACTCACTCCAACAGGTCCACGTCCTTCTTGTGCTGAGGCAGTACTGCGGGGGGGTCTCACCAGAGCGGAGCAGAGGGGCAGAATCCCCTCCCTCGACCTGCTGGCCACGCTGCTTTGGATGCAGCCCACTGACTTCCCCGTTTACACGAGACTTCAAACACTTGCTGTGTGGGGTTGTACTACAGTACAGCAGCGCAAGCTCATACAGAAAAGTTCCCGACCGCTTGTGCAGATACAGATTTAGTAGGCTAAATAAAGTTGTGGAAGGAGACACCTTTCCCTCTACAAACTTACTTAAGATAGACATCTATTATTCATACTTTCCACCTATTTTCCTTTCTCTTATAAACTGTGTGAAATATCTGACCAACTATTTCTAGGACCCAGCTGTTAGCTATTAAATCCAGCCATCATGAAAAGAATTTGAGGTGGCTTCAAAACAGGGGAGAGAAAAGATCTAGCTCCTGTAAAAAGTTTATTTGCAGCAACTGACAACTACCAAGCAAACACCAGAGACAACATAAAAAGTGAAATTACATTAGCAAGAGCAGAATAGCAATGAAAGTGTTTCTTTATAGGTGATTGCTTAAATTTCCCATGACAGACAATGACTAGAGATGTCTGAGCTGAGGGGTTTTTTTCATACGCTAAGTCTAAAGAAGAAATAGTGCCCCAGAAAGTGAAACGGGGCTAGGGAATCCCTCAGAGAGGCAACGGTTGCAGTAATACCTTATAACCTTCAAGCTGCAGGTGTTGAACAGCAGACACAGTTCTCCAAAGAGAAGAGTCCCTGAGCTTTGACACAGAGGCGGTATTGGAAAGATGTGCTATTTCTGCAACGTTTACGGCCTCTAAGAAAATTGTCTTGCAACTGATCCTCAGAAATTAATGCTTTAAACTCCTGCCTTTTCTCTAGAGGAAGCTTTTCTATTAAATCAGTTCATTTATTAATTTTAGAATCTGTGTCATAATTTGATATTCTGAAGTATAGGTTTTCTGAAGAAAAACTTTAATGAACCAATGAATTTGCTATGATTAAAATCTATTTCACTGCAACTACTCCTACTGATGTTGAACTGAGTACAAAAATATTTTTTTCTTAAGATAATACCCAGAATTCTTGTCTTTCCAGCCCCAGCATTTTATTTATTTGTTTATTAGAACCACCATAAAACCCTATTAGCTTTACTCAGAGGGAGTACCAGCCATCCTAAGAGAGTGTTTACTAGTTTGTGGGTTGGATTTTGAACTACCTCTTGTAATTTCTGAAAGAAATCGGTAATCCTCTTCTGTGAGTCCTGATACACCTTGGTATGGTGCCATTTGAACACCTTATTTTAGTGATACTAAAGAGACGCTACTAAGAGCTGAGATTCTCTTTCATAACAATCTACCTTAGATATTTCTGATCATACAGGTTTGCGAACAAATACAGGTCTTCTGTCTACAAGAAGAATAAGGCCAAGTAAGATACACCTTGGTCAGGAAACATTACACCATGAACCTGAGAGCAGGGAAACCCACAGATTCCGTGGTCCCAAGGCCAGTCTGGTGATCTCCTCTGCCTCCAGCACATGGGGGCAGATGCACCAGTTGCTCCATCCATTTCTGCCTCCTAGGTCTCACGTATCTCTCAAGGTTCCCTCTGACTCGTATGTTCCCCTAACGGCCAGCTAACAATGAATCTCTACACTACTCAGGAACAAGACAGAGAAATTAAGGTTTGTGGAAGAGACTCTGGGGAGCACTCAGCTACAGCTAGAGCTACAAGTAGTTTATTGTAAGTAGGGACAAAATGACTGCCAATGCCTTGGTCTGTCAGCTGTGCCAAAATTTGTCAGCTGCGCTGAGATTTTGTCAGCTGTTCATAGACAAATAGCCAAAAAAAGAAAAGCAGCATGACCCAGCCCAGTGTATTCGTAACCATTAAATGCACGGAGAATTTCAAAATACCCTTCCTGATTGAATTCAAGATGTCACGTCACTTAGACTTCTGTAAAATTCCAGAAAAGAAGATCTCATCTAAAACAAGTCTGAAAAGTGCCAATTTTACATTAATATTTAAGCTAACATCAGGCTTCTTCAGTGTCAAGATATTGACAAACTTTTACAAGGCTGAATGCATGACCCAAATTTTAAATGCAGTGCTTGCTTTTCTTCTATGTATCATTCTACTAGAAAACAGTACAATCTTTATTCTGTTTCAGAACCGAAACACAGCAATTGTCTTATATTCAACAACCCTGAGGCAGCTGCTTCCTTTGAAACAGATTTACCCAGCATTAATCCATGGCTTTACACATTCTAAAGAATATAAACAACTCATAAGGGAAGCTACCCTCTCCACCCTGTAATCCCCACATATCTTTTGCACCAGCAATGTACACTTGACGCACTGCTGTCTTGTTGAATCTGCAGACACACAGACTGCAACAATACCACCAAGTGAGATGTTAACCTCCCTGACTGTTAATTATGTCATTGCCAATTGTTGTACCAGAAACATCCTGGTTAATAGGCCTGAAAAGAGGAACTAAATTTACTTGACTTGGTCCTAATATCCCATTCATTTGAAAGGATGCTGCAGAGGATACAATGCTGAATATGCAATACTCCATTCATCCTTCAGTTACTTAAATCATTCAGACATCCTTGGAAATTGTGGCAAAAATATAATAGTGCTTAGACAATCATCAGCTATAACAAACACATCGGTTCCAAGACCACAATTTGTGGGATAACTCAGGACTCGGATATTTCCCAAACACAAAAATTTGTGTTTCAGCAGCAGTAAAAGAAGTGAATTTAGATTATAAAACATTATAATCCTATATTATGCTTGAAAAAAGCCAAAGAATTCTTCAGTTTCTAAAAGTAATAAACACTGTAATATGCATTCTAGTAGGACTGAAAAGCACACAAAGAATATAGCAGACCAGAATATTATCTTATTCTGATTTTTCTTCTTTGGAAATTCTACACACATTTTCCAAATTTTCTGTTCCAGACAGTCTGAACAGTTAAACAATCTGATGTGTAATGCCAGAAGACTAGTATTAACTTAAATTTTCCTTATTGTACATTCAAGCATATGATGAGAGAAGAAGAATGACAGAGTAGTAATCCACAGATTAAGTGACTAAGTTATCATGTTATCATATAATCACATTGTTCTGCTGAGCAACTTCTCAAATTACAAAAATGAGGAAAAAAAAATGTATTGCAGGAGAATGTTTGGTATCTTCAGGTACAGAGCAATAACAATAACTGCAAAGGCTTCATTGAGGCTATATTAATCAGTAGAAAACAGTGGATACATACCAAGGTCAAAAATCTGTCATTCAATTTTTGACAGTATTATCTGTGTTAGTTGGCTCAAAGTTAGCTTGATGAATTATAGAATACTAAAATCACAAGGCTGTATCTTTGCAAACTCATAGAATATTTTCATGCAAATTAGCTGACACAAATGTAAGAAGTGACAAAGAGTGTTATGTCTTTTATAAATCCCAGATCTTGGAAGTAAGCAATTCTACGAGAACAAAGTCTTGCTTTTTTTACTGAAAACACATTTTTAACGTTGCTGTGAATAAAATCATACAAACATAAATAAGCAATACATTAAAGATTTGGAGACCAGAAGGCAAACAAAAGACGATCCAGATCTAGCTTTAAATAAAATGCCCAAGATAATTGGTGATCGTTCATTTATGATTTCATACATTCCCAGCTAACAATACTGGCATATGCTGATCCAAATTGGGTAAATTGTCCTACATAACCTATCCTTACATTCCACGAGCAGACTGCTGCCACTGCCACCAGCGTTTCCTCCAGCTACGTCTATTTCTTTTCTCCCATCTAGACATTATAACTTAATTCCTTCAAAGTACCACTGCATATGTTTTCATGCCTACAATTGACTTTCTTTCCCTTACAAATATAGTATTTTATCTTTAAATCTTGATGTTACTTAATTATTACTGCAAAATTAGCTAGCTCAAGATCTAAATTCAAACCTGGGATATGATCAATGAAAATATCATGGTAAAGTTTTCAACCATTTTCATAGATTTTGTCATCCACATTGATGTTTGTCTATTATTCAGTAGCACACATGTTGTGCGGATCAAGGGATACAAATTTATAAATTTTCATCAAAATTGTGTTGATCATAAACTTTAACACAATTTTAATTAAAACCACTGGAAAGACTTTGTACCTATTTAATGATTTAGTATTTGTCACAGATTTTCTCATAGAGGTTGTTAAAATTTCTTCCACAAGAGGAACAGTAACAAAATATCGAAGGCAGCAGCAAAGGAACTGCTGTAAATTCGCACTTGCTGCTTAATAAATGCTATAAATATGGGAGAGATGAGAACAATTTTTAATAAGTATCATTTTATAATAGCTAGGTCATTACAGTAATAATATACGGGTTTCAGGTAACAGAAGAAGGTGGTACAGAATATCTGTACAATTTATACAAAAGATAAGTAGATTATAACATCACTTTCTATAGGATCCAACATCTTAAACCAACAGGTTTAAGCACCCTCAAACTAATTCAGCAGCAGTGGCAGAAAACTCAAGTGCTGCAGTGTAGGTGTATATAGAAAAAGAGGGAGATTTAGAAGCAACGTGTGATTGTTTTACCAAAGAAACTTGGGCCTTTCCTGCTCTCCCCAGTTTCTTCTGCCCAGGCTTCAAACAATTCTGCTGACCTTCCTATTCTCAGTCTTCTTAAAACCTGATGCCATTCTAAGACAGAGGAATATCAGTAGATGGCAAAAAGAAGTCAAGGCTGGTCCAGTATCTGCAGCTCAGTATCTCGGGGACTCAAGGTAGCATCGGCAGAAAAGGTAAGCTTTACACTATTAATATACAAGTATGTTACATTTCCAGATCATTAAAAATATTTATGTTCTTTCTATAAACTTTTTCACTTACAGAAAAATCTTTTCTCCTTTCAGTTATTCTCAGAGCTACATACTTTTTTTTTTATACATTTCTTTGTGATGAGAATTACTGCAGTGATCCAAAAATTGTGAAAAGATGGGACCTATTTATCTGCTTTATAGGTAAATACATTCTAGATCTCTCTCAAAGACTGTACTTTTCTAGCATAAATTTGATACGGTAATTACCATACAGAAAGAATCATTTCTATTCATACAAAAGCATGTGAAGACAACATTTGATGCACACCAGATTATTGGTTCTTTAGTCCACAAAAGATTTCGCTTATTTCAGATGAGAGCTTTTGAAAGGACTGTCGCAGTTCTCTCAACTGTGTAAACAGTTACCAACTGTTTAACCCCAGAGAGCCGGGCAGTGCGTCAACTAGTCTCTGCTCTGCATAAAACAGAACCAACTCCAATGGTAAAGGCAGCTGCAGGATCTGTATTACAAAATGCATTAGAGTTATTTATTTTACACCCAACAAAAGAAATCCAGAAACAAATGTCATTACCTATATAAAACTTTTAACTGTTGATCAATCTCTTGAAGCTTAGACCAGTACCCACTTGCAAGCTTTCGGTATTCATTTATAACTAAGGTCTTCAAATCAGGGTAGGGGCATTCCAAAGACAGTAGTGCTGAAGGAACTTCAAGGAAAAGTCCATTTTTCTCTTCAAAAGAATGTGCTAATGCCTGTGATGGAAAAATGCTACTCAGCAGACTACTCTGCATTATATTTTCTCTCTCAAAAAATTGCTAATTAAGCCTGTAAGGAAAAACTTACTTTTGTTTTATAGTCTTCAAGCTCTCTTTCCAAAGCCAGACTTTCAAGGATAAGGAATTCCAAAATTGCATTCTGTCGCTTCTTCACAAATTTGATCTATTTCATGAAATATGTTACTGTTACTTTTTTATCTTGTTATAATAAGCTCTTATTTAGAAACAAAGAGCCTGACTTCCAGTTCTACACTGCTATGCTTTCACAGATTTTAGTGAAGCAGATTTACACTATAGCAAGTACGGAGTTAGTGGATATTCTGAATGTGAGTTATAGTCTCAAAATATTACATAAAAATAAATGAAACTGCTAAATACACAGTGATAAAAAAATTGTAAAAATAAAGTTAAAATGCCAACCTGCTGTAACATCTCAACTGGATTGATCTTCGATTTCAGACAAGATTCTTCTGAGAGGTAACACTGCATTTCAGACAGTCTGAGTTTCAAATTCTCTTTTAGTTGCCAGATAGGAACTACGGTATTTGCTTGGTATGTATCCCGCTCCTTTGATAATTTATGCTCTGTATCCAAATGAAACATAAAGCTTTCTCAAACATACAAAATATTACACAGCACTGTGCTTTCTAAATCTAAACCTGTCAAGACAGGGATTTAAAAACTCCAACAAATAATCAATATAATTCTGACTATAATAAATAATCAAGAAATAAATAAAAAATTCTTACCCAAGTCCCTCATATCCAAAAAAAAGTTGTGCTTATGGCTTTCTTCATCAAGAAAAGTCTTTATTTCTGCTTCTGCTTTTTGCCTGGAAGATATGAGTTTTAAAGAAGCTTTAATTTCTTATTCATTAAGTTTTCAAGAATGATAAGCCTCAAATACTCTAATAATTAAGGTAAAGAGGGGGATTCTTTGCCTGGGAAGGTATGAAGTGCAGGATTTCAACATGAAGGTGATACAGAAGCCACCCTCCTCTAAGCAAAAATTATTTTCATTAATCTGCTATATATTCACAACACGCAAGCTAATAGGCAAGAACAATATTAACGTTCCCTGTTACAAGTGTGAACTCAATACGCACATCTAGAGACAGAGTCTGAAGGAATTAAAAAGCATGAAAACTTCTGATACTCTTACAAACATATGCTCTTCAGATGTCGATAGGTCAACTGAACAGCTATGAGATCATCATGGAGAAGTAAGTGTAGAACTACATCCACTTTCTTCTCCCCTCCCTTTACATGTTCTCTTCATGTCTACAGACCCTTTTCAATGTAGATCACAAACTCTCATGCCCTGCACAAAAGTTTTCTTCAGTTCAGGCATTTTAATCTTTTCCTCTTAATGTCCCTTGAATCAAGTATGCCACACCAGAATCTCTGCCTACTGACGTATTTCTTTAACAATGGCCAATTAAGATTCCTCAGCTCTTACCTGCTCTCACTCAGTCTTTTATGCTCTTGCCACCACACTTGCCAATGCTGTTTCAGCAGCATTTGCTCTTTGCTGATTTTTGAAACTTGTTCTGTTTTTTTAATCTGCAGGAAAAATTAAAGTTTGTAAGTATTCTGAATCTGTTCAAGAGCTTTATCAAATGCCTTCATACGGGAACTTCTAACTACAGAATGGTGAACTTAAAAGCTTTTTTCAAAACTGTGTTTTTCTAAAGAACATCGGGTTCAAGTGTAATCAATTTTCATTAAAAAATTATTTCATTTCAAATCACAATGAAATGAGAGGAGAAAGTGAAAAAAATTCAGTCCATTTTCTTCTTTCTCTTTTTCTCCTTTTCTTTCCCATCCCTATTTCCCAGGAGGTGAAGGGGGGAAGAGGAGCAGGAGAAAGAAGCACTTTCTTACAGGCAGGAAGATGAAAGAGTGAAAAGTGCATCTTTCGAGAAAAAGAATTTCAAAAATTGACTACTAAGAAAGAGTGCTTTTTCAAAATCTGTCCAATTAAAGAGGCTCTGAAACTGTCCAAGGGCTTCGCAAAAACATTGCTTCCAACTTCAGATAAAACAGAAATACACGCTTTTGAGATAGATGGAGTTACTGCTTAAACTAGAGGAAATGCTGTCAGGGAAAGGCTGAGGAAGTGGTAGCCAGATGACTCTGACTTCTGAAAAAGGGTCAGAAGAAGTCTGTGGCTGCCAGAAGCCCCTGAGACAAGTCAGTTGTCTCTCAACCTCCCGCCGTCATGACTGTCTTCTGGCCTCTCTGTGGATACTCAGGACAAAGCAGCATTTCAGTTCAGATTTGGCTCCTTTCCTGCTCCTTCTCTTTTCGCCACCTTCCCACTGCCTTCCTCCGTAACACCTGACCTCACCACTGCCACAGCCAACAACTTCTAGTTGCAAAATCCCTTCTGATTCCAGAGGCTCCCACAATTCACACACACACCCCTGTGGTTTTTTTTTCCCTCCCTAGACCCTCCTTCGTGCAGATACATTATTCTACTGCAGAATGTTAGCAAGACAAGAAAAAAAAAATTTGGAAACTCTTGTCCTAGTTCATAACAAGGAGAAATGAATAAAGATCTCACTCCACACCTAGTTCAGGAATGAAATGACATTCCAAGTCAAAAATGCTTGTTTTCTACTTGGCTCAGGTGGAAGTAATCTGCCCCATTTAAAATGCTTAGTCAACTTTCCTGCCTGGTGAAAGCTGGACAAACCCACCCATTACGCATGTGAACAGCGAGAGCAAAGCTCCCTGCAGGTGGGCTCCCACTCCCTCCACCGGCTGGGCAGGTGGTACCAGCAGGCTTCTCAAACAGGAAAGTCCTAGAACTTTTCTTGGCAGCACACACGCACAGGTAAGCAAGAATCCCCTTGCTTCTTGAATCACAGCCTCTCATTCACCCACCACCAAAGCTAAAAATCTTACTTTAAAACAAAATACCTAAAATTTTGAAACTAGAAACATTTATACCTCTGAAGTGAATCTGAGCTTAATATACCTGGTTGAATATATCTGGTTTCTAGATAGCCACATAAGGAAGAACCACAAGCAGAACATGGTTAACCCATCGTGCTTTTGCAGCAAACCTGCTCTAGTGGTGCTATTTGGGTAGGAAGTTGCAATAGGTGCTATGGAGAGATTATGTGACTGTGAATGAGAAATGAGGTGTTTATAGAAAGCTGCATATCTGACTGTACTTACAATGCTTTTGAATCAAAGCTAATGTCTCCTTATTTTTATTGCTTATATATTTTCATGTTTAAAAAGTTACTCAAAGCTTCCTCTTGATTACCATTAGATGCCTAAAACCAGACTCCAACAAACAGAATACCGTTTTTAAAGTAAATTGAAAATACATACATCTTCAAAGCAATTCTAAAACTAAAAAGTGAAACAAAAGTTGAAGTAGATCTATACATAAACTTTAATACGCTCTTGAAATTATTTTATAGCAACAGCAATGACATTTATGTATAACTGCTGCAATATCAGCTTTTTTCTCTATGGGCTGTATTTTTCTTTCTTAAATGGGCAACAACTAATTTACCATTTGCTTCTTTGGTTCTACCCCAATGGAGGAGTAACCCAGCACTTCAAAATTTGGGCAGCCTAAATCAGCAACAAAGTAGCAGCAGGTAGAAGGTGAAATACCAAAAGACATGAAAAATTAGTTTAAAGACTGAATGAATTCAGTAGAATTTTGTACTGCCAATCCATGAAGAAATTTCTACCAGACCTTTTGATATATTATACTTACACCCATTAAAGGAAGAAATACTTTAAAGAAAGTATGTATTTGTTCTCCCATTCACTGTCACCACTTTCTATTTTAAATACAAAGAGAGGAGCTGCACAAGCAACCTCCTTTATTGCTGCAAGGTCTTCAGGATAGTAGTGTGAACTAGTAAATTATGCTTGTTGGTACTGTATATATTCCATATACTAAGATTTAAGAAACAACATCATAGCAAAAGAAAGTATACTGGTTAGCAACATAACCACATATTTCATTTAATAACTTCTGTTTAAAGAACTTCTAAATAGGTTTTAGACATGAATTTAAATGTGGGGGTTTTTTTAGAATTTTATCATAATCTCATATTTCTTCAGCAAGTTTCCCTTTGAACTCTGCAATCCTGTCTGAATGAAGACTCTGAACTACATTTAATACATGCCAAAGACATCATCTGATCATGTCCCTTAGTCATCTACACAAGAAAACTTTAGTCACTGCATTTTGCATAGTTTCTATACTCTTCAGCATAGTCTTTAATTTCAAAGGCCATCCACAAAATTGCAACTGTTCAGAGGAATGGCCAAGGACTGGAGAGACAATAAATTGCCGTGCTAGCACAGCTTAAGCATACAAAACTGTGTCACCCTTATTTTGGATTCACAATTTTCTGAAAAAAACATTCAAATAACATTACTGCTGGATGGGTCTGTTTCAAATTGATAATTCTTTTCCTGTTCTATTTTGTTTCTCAGCCTAAAGGGACTATTTCAGCTGAATGTGTATCAGTGTCAATTTATTCACAAATAATTTCTTTCTGTGATTTTGATTTTTTTTTTTTTTTAAAAAAACATTTAACCTTCCTCAGTGAAATGCTTACACACTAAAAGCAGTTCCACTGTCACAAGGAGTTATCACTCCATAGTGTTTCTGGATCAAGATTTTACACTATTTCCACACAACTGGAAAGGAAAACATACAGAGCCAGCAACACATGCTGCAGAGAGGTTGGAGAGTCCTTGGACATCTGCATTTCTGGCAGTTTGACATACACTCTCCTTCAAAGAAAGCACAATTTTTTAAAGGGAAGTTCTTAAAAACACAAATCCAAAGACTGTTTCTGGACAGCCACATTTAAAACCAAAACCAGCTTATTCCTAACCACCTTCACCCTCCAACCCTGCCCCAACTAGTTGCAATATACAAGTACTTAGGCACAACCCAGTGTAAAAGAGTATCTGTGTCTTGGCTGTCCCATTAAACACAAGAAGTGCAACACTTCAAGTTCTGTTGTGGCTTAATAGCCACAGCATGATGATAAGTTGTATGGAAAAGACCTAGACTCATAAGTAGGTTTCAAGGAATTTCTTTTCTCAAGACAAACGTGTTGAGATTAAAATATGTTATTTTCTGCTCACTGCAAAATCCTGAACAAGCTATTTAGTGTACAGCTGGATAAGAGCCAAGATAAGCCCCAGTCTTCTCATACATTTGGGTTTGCTGATTAAGGAGCTTGTTCACAAAAATATTCAATATTTTCCCTGATGGTTTGTAGGTAACGTTGGAAGCAACCAGAACCACTCCCTCAGAATGGCACAAAATTAAAAGATTAAAAAATTCATCAGCTTTCCAGTGCTGTATGTAACCAAGACTGACAAGCCAGGTGATACAAATTCATAGGGGACACACTGGGAAGCAAGATAGAAAGACGCTCAAGCACATCATCTTTTAAAAGCTACCTCAATTTAACCAGACTGGTTCTGCCCAGCGAGGTCTGGCTGCTATCAAAGCCACTCCGTGATTTCCCCAATACGGCAGGTGTCAGAGCTCACACCACCTAGTCTGACTGCTAATTGCATGGTGTCACGCAGCAGCTGGTCAATCTCACCGGAACCTGCAATGCAACCAAGGAGCAGCAGCCAGGTCCACGAGTGCTGAAATCAGCCCAGTTCCAGAAGCGTGCTTGCCACAAAGGCACCCGAACAGCTCCACACTGAGGTCCCACAGGACCTAAGAGTTCAGTTGTTACGCCACGTAAAAGCTAAACTGTTTCTCAAACAGATGTACCTCTGGAGGCAGAAGAGCTGTGTTTGCGCGGCACTGAACCTAACCTAATAAACCAGGCTAAATCCAAATCTCCTGGCTACTTCAACGGCAAAGGTCAGCTGCGTTCCAGATAAACACAGCACCTGAGAGTTGACATGACACAAAGTAGGTCTCGTACAGCAGCTCTCCTTTGGCATGTGACCCAAAGAAGAGATGCCTTGATCAGCAGGCTAGCAGATCCCATGTGTTTAAAGTAAAATCTTCCTTGATACTGTGGAAAAAGTACATTTTTCATTCCTGCAAGTGTAAAATCAGTAAAGCTTTGAAAGAATAGAATGTCATTTTTACAAAGTCTCTTCTCAAAGCATTGATATACATTATTGATTTTAGTATTATGTTAAAATAAAGATGGGGAAATTTCTGAAGGACAGGAATAAAGAAGAAAATACGATGATGCTCTGAAGTCCTGCTTAGGTTTTTGGCAGAAGAAAAGAACAAAAGCCAATCTGCATCCTTGTATTTGCTTGCCTAAAGGTGGTTTAAAGATACATGAGTGTTTTTTTCTGCAGTTAGTTCTAGTATCAAGTTGTCAAGTTTCATTTACCTGTTACATAGACTTGTATTAACATCAGTAAGTATAATCGATACCATTACTCAAAATACTTGAAAATTTTTAACTCCTTTAGGTTTTCTTATGAGGGTTTTTTCCTTTGTTATTCAGGGTAGGGGGATGTACTATAATGATGAATGTCATATGCAGTATTCTAGAATTAGCTATGTCTGAGCTGTATCTTAATCTTTCCAGTTCCTTCTTTAAATTTTCTCTAATATTTGGTCCTTCTTCTACAAAGGTAAAACTCTGTCATAACGTTTGGTATATGCCTAACGTAAAGGATGAAATAAGGCTGTCTGGAGAGCTACCGGTGTTCACCCTGTCCTCCCTCATACTTATAGACTGGTCCCCACTTTCCATTTTCTTTCTTTACAAATTTTTTACAAAGGTTTACAAATTCTTCTCTTCACCTTGTACTCCAATTAACATGCACATCACTGAAGATTTTGGGTGTATCATTGCCAAAAATACTTCCAGAATGGCTTCTCCGTTCTTAATATACAAAATTGGTTTGCTCTTTTCAACCACCCACTGTTGCATCCATTTACTCAATGTCTCTAAGATCAGACTTACAGAAAACATTAGTATGTGTAATTGCATTAGTGGATGGAGAAAATCTGGTACATAGTCTTCTTTCTAGTTTCACAGCCCCAACTTCTGCTGCTTCTTCAGTTTTGCTAGTGACCCTGCTTTGTCCACACATTATAAATCATCATTCTTAATAAAAGCAGAGGTAACGTTTTCATTAAACTTTACTAGTATTAAATAGACTACCTCCTTATTTACCATTTGGGCTGTACTGCAGTGATTTATACCTTTCTAATTGTGTAGCTCTACATTTACATTTTATGGCTATAAAACTCTTTTAATTTTCTTTTCGAGATCTACCTCGGCTTGACTTTTGGAAATCCTCACTTGGTATCTTTTTGGTTTGTTCCTTTCTGGATCAACCTCCCCTTCCCATTTATTCCTGTAAATTCTTCATTACCGCCAGTATTTTAAGTAGTTTATGTAATGAGTCCGGATGAATTTCCTCAAAGCACTCAAATACAAACTTCTCCTGTCTTTTGGGGAAGCATAATCCACACATATTTTGCATCTCTGAGTCAAAGAAATTCCACACTGACATTAACATGTCCAAATCACAGTAACGCTGTAATAAGCTCTCATCTTTTGCCCTCTTTTTCTGAACACTGTTACAGCAATTTGTTATCCCTAGTCATTCTCAGACTCCTTGGGGCAGTGAAAAGAAATATGATCACTGAATTTTAAAGTCATTCGCATGACAAATAATATAAAAATCATACCTTTAATTGAATTTTTGCAGATGCCATTTTTTCTACTGCAGCAAGTTCATACAGATGTTTGTAGTCAACAGGCTTATACTTCTGGCTGCGAAGACCGTTTCTCATAGGAATCATCAGATTTTCTAGTTATCACATAAAACACATACAGTCATTTCAAATTCTGGATAAATATTTTAAGTGCAAGTCATAAAATGAAAGCACTATAGATAGAAAATAGAAACAGTGTATTTTAAACATTAAAAGTTTCTATAACAATGAGATTGTTAGTTGATGAACAAGAAATTGAAACAAAAAGTTATATAAGAAACATTAACCATTTGTCTGTTTATAAAGAGTTTATTTAGAAAGGTGGGGTTTTTTATATATGTGAACTTAAAGAATAATTCACTTTAAACAGGGTTTACTGGAATTTTAGTAGGTTCTAATACAGAAATACGTAATTTTCAATATATGCATTCTTATTTCACAAATTGGAAAACTACCTCAATATTTATTGTAATCTATGGATTAAGCAATAGGAGTAATTTTTTTCTAAAAGGTATATAAACTACTAATTATATGTAAATAGAATGAGTTGCAGTTACGTTTCCTATTGAATCTCCCAGCCATAAGAACAGCATAATTTCTCTATTAAACTTCTGCAGGCCCCTGGGAAAACAATATACTTCCTTAAAAAAAGAAAAAGGCACTAGATTGCATGGAAAGCATCACACTTGGTTTCTGCTGGAAGCGGTATGGATTATGTCCACTTTTTGCAGTCCTATCATCAGTATTTGAAAGACCATGACAGCATTAAAAGGTTGTTGTCCAAAAAAACCCAGAGGAAGCAGCTCTGCTGAAAAAGCATTTGACATCAATAAAGATTTAACCAAGTTGGTCTTTCACCACACAGTGAAGGTAACTTACAATGATCCGTTTAAGAGATTTCATTGAGGGATTCCCTGAACAACAGTTATCTCAAGTTTACCATGGAGTCCTCCCCTCCTTTGAGCTTATATTCATGTTCCTAAAATCTACTGCCTTTATTTTTCTTCCCCCTTGCCAACATCCTAAGAATGGTAACTTCCACCATTTCATGGTCACGTGAATGCAAAGCATATTATGTATACACTTAAAACTGGGTGATCCAAGGACTGAGAAGACCAGCAGCCATATCAGAATGAATCCAGAAAACCAAGGCTGCAAATCGTGTCTGAACAAGATTTGTCAACAGAAAATGAGAAGCACGGTCAAAGTAACCTCAGATACATAGCTGCCTAACATTAATCAACAGATTTCCTACCTCACTGGCCTGTGCCAGACTCCCATCAAAACAGAGTCACGTCTTTCTTCCCCTCTAATCATCATCTACAGTTTCCACAGGCAATCCCTTTGCAGTTCCCACTCTCTGAACTTGAGAGGATACACCACCTACATAGAGGAAGGCTTCCTCCTCTCCTGCTTGTCAATCCTGCTTTCTTCACCACTAATCTTCTCAACATGCAAATTATTCCACCAAATCAGCGTTATGCTAACCAGGTTATAGCTTTCATCTTGTATATAGAGAATAAAAGTAGTCATAATATCTCATTTTTGTTCAGCAGTTTGCTCCACTAATTTCTTCCATTTTATCCCTCCTATGAGCTTAGTATGAATAATCTTCTTTCTCCCAGTTTTTAGGCCTTTAGATAGCTTTGCTCATCTGCGGGCTTTTATTCCCATCAATTCAAACTTACAGTTCTCATCCCTAAGTTAGCAAGATTTTAAGTGAAGATTTTTTTTCCTTTTTTCTGAGATCGCCTACAACATTGTCCAGCAGAGACCAAGGACGTTCAAAGTAGTAAAAGTTCTGTCGCCAAACCCTCTGAAAAGCCACTCGTTCGGTTCTTCCTCCTAAGCGTATTACTCCTCCATTACTGCTCCCAAAGGCTTACAACCACTTCTTGTCTGCTAGGAGTCATTTCAGGCGGTAACATCAGCATCCACACACAAGCAGCAGGGCATGGCAGGAGCTTCAGAGCAATTCCATAACATTTCTAATTCAGGCTCCCTGCAGGCAAATGCATGGGAGCACCTGGGAGATAAGCTAGCAGATGCATCCTGTCATATTCACTAGAAAATAATCAGTAACGGTTACTAGTACTACTAAATGATGTTAATTACTGCTAGAAATCATTAAGTACAACTCCTTGGTACTGTGCTTGTGAATCTCATGATCTTTGAAAAGCATGATAGTGTGATGTTCCAGTTCAGAGACCCTCAGTTAACTCCAGGATAGCATACTATGATGCAGGTAAATGTCAGAACAAAGGTGGGACACTTCCAGGGCAGGTAAAGATCTAAATCTCTCCCTGCAGCTCCTGTTGCAGCTGCTGCAGAGACCTCCGAGTACGTAGCGTCAGTGTTTTTGGAAGTGTTCTCCATGCATCCTACACGCATGTCAATGCATACATTGACAAAGTCCTCATGCTACAGTCGGCTTTTGACCTTGCCACTCTAACTTCCCATTCCTGATCTGAAGGAGTTCCTAAATCATTTCACTAGCATGGATCTCTCACACCATTTATTCAGAATTATGGTATAGATATCCAGGGGTAGGAACCCTACCTGGGTATGGCACTCAAAATTGCAATATCCTGACCAGTTTTCTTTGGTCTCTGTCAGCATTGTCATCTCCTCAAACTGCTCAATGAAATTACAGTTTGCTGTCCCTGTTTCACAGCTCTCACTTACCACTGGCTTTTGAAACGCTGCTTTCTGTGTCAGCTTTATTCCTCAATACAGTATAGTAAGGATAAGAGACGTGATCAAAAAACCAAATCCATGTTATCTTTTTGCACCCTTTCTTTACCACAATATAAAATGAAAATCAGCATGGAAAATCAGGATGAAAAATGTAGAAGTGTATACTGATGTACAGGAAGCAATAACAAATACAGTGCAGAAAACAACTAGGAAGGAAGGATGAACCATCCCACTAAATGAATAGATGGAGAGAACAAGGAATGCTATAAAATAACAGAGAGAGGCACTGTTTTTCTTTGGCTGGGTTGCCTTAATCTGTTCTAACCACAGAAAAATGTATCAGAGAACACTGAATAAGCACAGAGAATCGATTTACTTTAAAAGGTTAAACTTGGTGGTATCTAGATACAAAAAAAAAGTTGTTACTATGTTGGGTTTCTAAACAAAAAATCTTGCAGTGATGTTTGGAAGCCTTAGAGTTGTCCTTGAAAGTCCCAAGTTTAATTTAGCAACACGATCTGATATTTTCTGCACTCTTAAAAAAGTTTTATATAAAACACATTAATATACATAGCTACATATGAAACTAATGTAAGAGAAAGTAGGTACCCGATGTACTTTTCAGGTAACTCATCTTCAATAACTTAATAATGTCCCTCACATCTAAGAAAAGAATGAGGAGTGGAAGACAAGTTCAATTTCCAAACCTCTAACCCCAAATAATTTGATTTTATCTTTGCTTTCAGTATGCTTTTTTCTTTAGCCTGTATATCTGAACCTTATGAATCGCCGCTACTAATCTTTATCTGTTTCTTCTTCTACTGAGGACTTTACTCTGAGGCATTTTCTGAAGTCAATAGGCTCTATCTATGTGAGATTAACTCCAAAATCAGGGTCTTGGCATACAGGACGCAAACTTTGTATTTAATAGGTAACATACTGGATGTGTCTTACGCTTTACGAAGAAAATAAATTTTACAGGCTTTTTTATATGTATGTATACACCCACAAATATATTCACATATATACACATGAATAAAAATATAAAATATTAAACTTTCAGATTTTAAAATGCCTTTTCACAATTTTCTATAACGAATATTTGCTAAAGCCTTAGATACAATTATAACAGTAAATGAAAATACTTGCGCTTTTGCCCCAGTAAAACTGTAACACACAGATCCCCAGTAACTTCACATAAGCTAGGAAGCTTACAGGGATAAGGAATGGGCCTTTTCTTTCCAACCTCTTTTTTAGGTTCCTTTAGTAGTGAAACTTGCCATTAGGTATTAGTAGAAAGATTTTTTTTTTCCCCATTCACTATTAAAAGCATAGTGGCTGGAAGTGATATATCTGACATACGGTTTTGCAGAGGGGTCCCATGTAAACGTTAAGGTAAACCCCGCAAAGCTATCCCATGATCCTCCTTCACGTCTCCCCTAAGGATTTTCATTTGCCACAGGCCTACAGAAAGTTTGGCGACATGACTCCAGATGATGCCTCACTGTGGAAAGATTTTTTCAAGTCAACGACAGGGCAGTCCTCAGTAGCAGTACAGACGGGGCATTGAATGCACCGAGAGCAGCCCTACAGAGAAGGACTTGGGATCCTGGTGGATGAAAAACTGGACATGACCCAGCAATGTGCACTCACAGCCCACAAATCCAGTCGTATCCTAGGCTGCATCACAAGCAGCATGGCCAGCAGGTTGAGGGAGGTGATTTTGGCTCTCTACTACGCTCTTGTCAGACCCCCGTGGAGCACTACGTCCAGCTCTGGGGTCCCCAGTACAAGACAGATACAGATCTGTTAGAGCTGGTCCAGAGACCACAAACACGATCCGAGGGCTGGAACCCCTCTCCTGTGAAGAAAGACCGAGACAGTTGGGCTTCTTCAGCCTGGAGAAGAGAAGGCTCTGGGCAAACCTGACTGCGGCCTTTCAACATATAGAGGGGAATCATAAGAAAATCAGAGAAAGACTTTTTACCAGGGTCTGTAGTGACAGGACAAGGGTAATGGTTTTAAACTGAAAAAGGGCAGATTTAGACTGGATATAAGCAAGAAATATTTTACAACGAGGGTGGTGAGGCAGTGGCAGAGGTTGCCCCGAGAAGCTGTGGCTGCCCCATCCCTGGGAGTGTTCAAGGCCAGGTTGGATGGGGCTGTGAGCGACCTGGTCTGGTGGGAGGTGTCCCTGTCCATGGCAGGGGGTTGGAACCAGGTGGGCTTTAAGGTCCCTTCCAACCAAACCATTCTAGGATTCTATAATCAGAATGCTATAGCAGCTTCCATATGCAGCTATTAATTGCACAGAGTATTTCATAACTAGTTTTATTCTAGATTGTGATAAATCAATTTGAACATGATGGGATACATACCTACATCACTAATCCTATGAGTTGTAAAGAATGTTCCATGGTCCGATTCACTCATTTTTATTTTTTACATTTTTATTTTTTTTTTTATACCTGTTGAGAAACAAACAGATGTTTTGAGAATACCAATATTGTGGATGCAATCTCAAAAACACATTCAAAAAATATGTATTGTTTTCTGAGGAGACAAAGCACATGTCACTGAAAATGTAATTAGACAGAAATTCCACAAGTTCATCTTTCATTTTAGGAGATATTTCATGTGCCTTATATCATTTAGCAGGTAAAAAGAGAAAGCAAAATATTATTTCCTTGATGAATCTGTAATGCTGTCAGACAGATCACCTGTGCTTTGCTCTGTGCTTTTCAAAAATATAACAATCCTATTGACCCAAATGTAGGGTAAGTTTTTGAGGTGTTCTTTGCTTTTTAGAAATTAAGCCTGAAAAGATCACTCTTTTCTTATACTTAGAGACTGTAGCTTATGAACAGATCCCTATACACCCCCTTTAAGAGTCTCTGTATTAACGCTTGTCAACCAAGTCAGCTGTTTCAGCAACAGTGGCTTAGTTCCTGACAAGCAACTGACAGGCAGCACCTATCAAATATTCACATCATCCTGGGATAAACTTCACGTGTAAGATGCAGTAAGATATACAACATAGTAAAAAATTTTGACGTCTTAAAAACCTTACTTTCACCTTAATTAAGCATGCATGGGCACCATCACAGGTCTTGCGTAGAAACAAAAGCAATAGATCAAGACAAGGTGTTTCAGTTGAACTGAATCAACAGCTGAATAATGCCAGCAGGGGAAGGTCACGTTCAGCCAGCCTCCCCACAAACCCTCTCCCTCAAACCCAGCTCTACCCTACCAAAATTTCCTACACACAAAATTCCATCCACTTGGTCACACCTTTGACATTCATCTGGTCTCACAGCAAGTAGCAACACAGTAAACAGATGACCAGCAAAATCTGTTAATTTGTGTATCGTGGAGTTATTTCTCTGCCATTCCAGTAAGTTCAACCAGTTTATCCATACAAATTCCAAGGATGGCACAATGCAACAAGGAGGAGGGAAGGAAGAGCAGCAGAAGCAACGGGAAGGGAACTACTCTGACAGAGAGCTATTAATTTCAGTCAAATAAAAACGTGAGACTGCAACCCAAGATACTTAGCATTGTATTTTCCTGTGAGCTATGTTTCTTCATGACAACATTCTGCATTGCAGAATCATCAAAAACAGCTAAAGTGTAAAAATCTGACTTAGACGGACAACAGATTCATGAATGAGCTTCCACTATTACTGCAGTTGAAATTACAGCCACAACAGTACACATACATACACACACACTACTGTTCCTGTGGCTCAAAGTCAGTTTGATATTAATTCTGTACACATTAGCTATGCAAGTTACCAGGCAAAGAAAATTCATGACCGCTAGGCTTTGCACAGTGAATATTCCATGACCAAACCAAGTAGAAAATAGTGAACACTCATTGATAAAGCGTGACGTTTCTCAATGCTTCTTCATGCCTATTCTTCAGTGTTATTTAACAATGCTATGAAACTGTCCCTTACACTCAACCAAAAATATCAAAGTCTAAACGTCATCTGTCTTTACCCAAGGGTGACCATTCATTAATAATAAAGGGACCTTTTCAAATTTGTTCTGAAAGTAATTGACAATATCAGTTGGTCAGAAGCTACGTTGAACGTCATCATCTGATCACACAGACTGAAATTAAAGATACATGAGAGTAAGCAAATATGACAATACATGAGGGAGTTCATTCCCCTTTTGAAAGATTAATGTGTATTTTACAATCTAATAGTCACCTGTAAATAAATTCACAGTTCTATCCCAAAGTCTACACACTCCTGAAAAGTCAAGGAAGAAAAAGATTATCACATTCATACCATTGATTCCATTTTTCTTCACTTAAAGCAATTACTTGGTTTCAACTTGTAACCATATAACACTGCCAAATTCATCCAGACAAATGAGGTAATTCTCTATATCAGAAGCAACTTTGGCCTATTTGTCATGGTAATGTTCTATCTATACATCAACTTGTCTACATATAATTTTCTAACTGCATATATACTTCGGTTGGAATAGTTTTTTTTAAAAAAATTAAATTAATTGTATATGTAAAGGTTTAAGGTAGGGATTTAACCTAACGCAGTAAAGCATGGGATTTACCTTACTTATTTCTTCAAGATGCACAAAGACAGTTTAAATGTTGCTTCTTTACCCCCTTAAAGACAAAACACATTTTTCCGCTTCTTAGAAAGGCCGACTGTGCATAGCCTTATCTTTCTCCATTTCTTGGTGGAATCACTGGAAATACAACTGGAACAAGAAATGCTTAATCACCAACATACAAATCTTTAAGCTATAGGCTGATCAATTTAAAAAGGCATTTAAAGACAATTCTTTTTATTCAGGTTGTTTACAAGTCTGTAAATTTGGTTTAGTTTAGTATCCCTAGTGTTGTAATTCCCTTAGATTTCCAGCCTCCAAAATGTTCTTCCCAGGAGGAGGGAGAAATAGATACATCATGAAATTCTGTAATTAAAAAAGGGGCTAGAGGGGGAATCTAAAAAAAAAAAAAAGACTGCAACCCTGCAAACTGGCATGATTTCCCATGAAATTCTATAATATTCAGCACTTTCTGGAAACTCCAGTACAATTATGTGACATAATCTTCCACTGAATTTATAATCATTAATGTTGAACAGGAAAACTTAAAATACTAATAATAAAAGCACAAAAATTAGAAAAAAAACTATAAGAAAACTGAAAATATTTGTTTGATATGACTTTTCAATTATTTCTTCTCAAGGCTTTTAATGTGAATCACAAAAGAAACGAAACCAGGATTATTTTTTTTTTCTTTGCTGAATTTTACTCTTCCCTTGAGGGGTAAATCAACCACATACCTGAATTCAGAGAAAAGGGAAAGCATCACAATATATCGAAATTCTTTATTTTAAAGCTTTTTTGATTGACCAGTTTAAAACAGACTTTCACACATCTGTTTGAAAGATCATAAGTCAGCACAACTCCTAGCCTCTTTCAGGAAGACATGAACATTCAACTGTGGCTTGATATTTCTATAACCCCACTGATATTCTTACCATCCTAAGAGTGAAGAATAACCGCACCGAGTCCCTTCTTATATCATCAGCTATAAGCTATATTTACATCGGGCCAAGAAAACAGGGGGGAAGAACCAACACAAGGATTCTATTCTGAATGAGTAGGACCGTTCTCCAGTGGAGCCGCTCAAGCTCTACAGATCAGCAGCATGATTTTTAAACAGCAGCAAGTTCTCTTGAGGGTTTTTGTGTACTATGGTTAATATTTAGACAGCAACGTTGATTTTCCTTAGCAGAGATATCAGCAAGGCTACCACATTCTGAGAATCTGCAAGCACAAATAAATATATCTGCATTAGACCTGAAGCAGATTGTCTGTACATGCTTTGTGGAACCATTTGGACTTTTTAGATTTGTAACAGCCCCGTGACAGCAGCAGCTCTGACCAAGTTGCCAGAATTCCTCAAATTAAAAGCAGGAAAATATATCTACAGAGGAAAACACAACATAGGATAGTCCTAACTACAGAGCGAGACATCCAAGTTCCTTGCAAAGTCAAAATGAGAGATTTGCAGTAATGAAAATTGGCTTTGCTTTGCCTGCTAGCACTTGCAATTCTTGGTATGCAATTTCCCCATGCTTACGTTAGAGGGGGAATTCAGTGGTATATTTGAGTACAGTGGTACCAAATAAATGATTTACCTCAGACGACTCTCTGACTCTGCTCTTTTCACAAGGGTAGTCCTTACAAAGGGCATTCAAGCCTCCATCACCAGTTTTACAGTCCATATTTATTCCTATCAGCATCACAGTAGAGCTACTTTCTATTGATAGGGGCAAACTGCTATCAGGCAGTATTCTTAGAGCACAGACTTGCATCAGCAGTCCGAGGAAATCCCTGCTGATCTCAATCTCCCCAGGCCGAATGGAAGAACTGTGATTCAGCAACTTCAAGAGCATAAAGTCTATCTCCATTTTTCATTCTTACAAGCATAATCCACGGAAAATCATATGTAGCAGATTTTTTTTCTACTTCCCCTCACATTTCCACTATAGTTCACTGAAACTAATGCAAATATTTCAGAGAGTATTTTAGTTTTTAACAAGAGCCACTGGATTTTGCATCTCAACACATCTGGCAGTGCTTTTAAGCCCCTTCATGCTTTTGCTCTTGAAGACACCATTAGAATTTTTGCATTTTATAACCTTAAAAGAGTAATTTCCACTATGTCAATACTCTCATTAAATTCTGAGATCTGTTAGTATTTCTTCTAGTTGTGGAGTTTGTATTAAAAGGGGAAAGGAAATCAATTTAGGGTGAGGTTTGGTATATTTACATCATAATGACACTTTTAGAAAGACTGAATTATTTGTAGGTTTAAAGATGACAAATTTAATTGATAGCAGTAGGTTCATTCCAGGGATGCTTGCTCAACCTCTACCCTGTCACCTTCAATTGAAATGTTGCACTGAATGAATACTACAGCTTACAACTCAGGCTTCACATTTCATGATGAAAATTATTAATTTTTAAAGGTTTGCAGCTGCTTGAACAAAGCTGATGAGTTACAGCTAATCATTTTTTTCCATATACCTATGTGTTTTTGAAGCTAAAATACTTAAAGAGTAGAAATATCAATTTCAGTAAGAGTTCACTGCTTTAAAAATCTTTCACCTTCACAGATTACTAAAGAATAACTTTAATTTGCATACTTCTTTTCTAAAGGAAGATTATTCAGTAAGTAGTACTCCTTAGACCAAGAGTAACATCACTTCTCTTGCAGTACTCATAGTATATTTTCATTGGGAATAGGTTAGCTTCTGTGGTCTTTTTTAGCAATTAGTATATTAACATCCATAAAATGCAGCTTGAACCAAACACAGTATCTAGGAACTTGGTCGATCCATCTAATACTTGTGATCAGAAAGATTAACAGAAGATTCAAGAAG